TGTTTCATCCGTATTCTCATCCGTAGTCTCATCCCTTTGGGTTATTGCGCATAGACACGACAATGTGCTCTAATGATCATCTCCAAAAATTCTACTAAAAAAAAAACATTTATCTTCAGGAACTCAATTGAAAAAATGTTAAAGCATGAAAGCAATAGAACATTGAATTTTGTTAAATTAGTGTTATTTATTATTAATTTTACCATTTTCATCAAATCCATTAAAAGCATTTGTTTTTCTGCTTATAAACTTAATATTTAATTATTAATATTTAATTTAAAAACTTTATTTTTGTTCAAGAAAAATTTAATCAATTAAATATTGACTAATTAAGCAAAATGCTTACTATCATCAGTTCTTGTCTGTCCATGTGGTCTGTGAATTGAGGTTCCTGAAACGACAACTGAAGAAGCTCGCCCATGATATCCAACTGGTAAATATTTCCTAAATTGATTGAAAATATAAAAATTATTTCATGATTAAATTATTATTACAGAAAAAAAAGAGCATTTTGAAAAACGTTTATAAAGAATTAATTTTGTCTAGTATACTATTAAAATAAAAGATGAAGTGGCTTAGTCCAGCATTTCCCAAACTTCTTGGAAAAATGGAGTCCTTAAGCAGGGAAAATTTTATTGTGGAGCCCTAAACTCTTTGGCATCTTTTGCTATAAATTTGTATAATTGACAGAGGAAGAATGAGACTTTAATATTTTACTTTTTATTATTATTTCATTAAATGATATAAACAATTATATGTATTTTAATTTAAATTATTTATTAATAAACAATTATATACATTTTATTTTTATCATTCAATGAAATGTTAGTTGTACAAATGATGTGTGATAAGGGTAAAAGGCAACTACCATGCTGAGGTGTACTGCTGACTCAAATAAATAACTGCTTACTAAAAATATTTGTAAAATAAACAAATATTGCATTTGATGCATTAACTTTAAAAATGTTTTAAAAGATTAATAGAGCCCTAGAATTTCAGTTGAGGAGTCTTAGGGCTCCATGGAGCCCACTTTGAGAAAAGCTGGCTTAGAGAACACAATATTAGTTTACAATATAGAATGATGCAGATTCATTAATTTAAGGATGCTAGATTTTTTTCCAATTCTTCTCTGATTATGAAGCCACTCATTAATATGGCTTTATAGACATTTAACAAGAAGTTGAGGATGATTACAGATGAGTATGTGCTGCAATTTTCCCAAGCAACAAGTGTGAATTAAATAGTATAAAATATTTAATATTAAATAATAATTTTTCTTTATACAAATGATTTTGGAATCAGACCAAATCATCTCTCTTCCATCCAATAATATTGGTAAATAAATAAAATAATAATTGCAATTGTTTCAAAATTTCAATTTAATAAAACTTGCAGACTTAGTAAAGTGCCTAAAATAAAACTATATAGAAAACTAACTGTTACCTGTGACTTTGCCTGTGGGGGTTTTGCAAGCAAACCCCATTTATATTCAGTATTTCAACAACCATAGTAATTGTTACATAACACCTACCACTGAGAATAATGATAATTGTTGAGAATCAAATGAACTATTTTCAATTTGATCAATTTTCTGGAACTTTTACAATCATTCTATAATTGAACCAATATGCAATAACAAATTTGAATTTAAAACAGTTTGAACATTTGGTTAAAAAATCGAAATATATGAAAATATTTATAACAACGTCTGAAATGTTATCAATTTAATACACCTAAGTACTCAATGAAGACTAAACGTAGTTGAAAACAAAAAAATCACATATAAAATATAGTACAGTAGAAGCCATTCTTCTGGTTAAGCCTTAATGCTCTCCCTCCCCCCACGGGGGAATTTTGAAAAATCCTTTCTTAGTGTACATTTTCATGACGTACCTAATTTCACCTCTTTAGGTTCATCAGTTTGCTATGGGTGGTGATGAATCAATCAGTGACTCAGTCAGTCAGTCAGGACAAGTAATTTTATATATTTAGACTAGTCACCAAATTATCAAAATTTTAACTAGGTTAATTTTAAGTCAAATAGAAATTAATTTATAAACACCAGAAATAGGAGAGTACCATCAATAATTAGAATTTGATTACTGTTTGGCTATTAAATAATTTATTTTTGTTTTAATTGATTGTTGTTGATTTTACATGTATTAATACATATGTAAACATTAATAAATTAAAATTGGCTCGATTTATTAATGATAATAGTATAAAATCAGTAAGAAGAATACAAGATAATTTATGATTGAACAGATTAAGACAAAAATTACTTTTCTAGAAATTTGAATTATGTATGTGATCTTTGTAAAAAAAAAAAAAGAAAAAAAGAAACTAAGTTAGTCTAATTCAATTACAGACTACAGAAATTCAATAAATTTTCAAAATTTTTTATAGAATATAAAATATTCTATATTTGAAATATTTGTATACGTTATGTTCACTCCAGGAATGTTGCTCATTTTGTGAATTAAGCAGTTTTTTTGCTATTTCACAAAATAGGCAATTCAAACTTAGTCTACTTCATGAAATTGTTATTTTATATTTTGCAATAAGTTACTGACTTTTGTTTTACTCATTGCTTTATGACTTAAAAAATGTTGAATGAAAATTTGTTTTTAGTATTGTCTTCTTACTTGAAAATTAATTAAAGATATTTTATATTTCCTAATGATGTTTATTATGTACAGTACATATCACATTAAATGTCAGTAAGTATTCATAGAAAAAACTTCAAAATTGGAAACTGCAAGACAATGGTAAATGAAAAAGAAACAAAATAAAAGCTCTCCAAATGCTTTCATTTATATTATACTAGCAGCCAGGGACGCCCCCTAGTGGGCATTCTTTACAAATTTCCATGAGGCACGGTTCCTTTGACTTTTTTGTTCCTATCAATATGCTCTACAGCTCTGTAAAAGTCCGAATGGTAAGATGTACCCTCCGAATGAAGAGGTGGCGATCCCCCCAAACTGTAGCCCCCTGTGCAAACAATAAAGTCAAAGGAACCATACCCCTACTCCCGATCCTTCGCGAGATATAAGCCCCTGAAATAATAAATTCCTATTACAAATATACTGAATTATTTATATTGTTATATTGACCAAATAATAATTTATTGGCCAAATGAATAATAATAATTTATATTGTTAATTTAAATAATAATTAAAATTGTTAATTTAATTTGGTGTTTGAAATATGACACACGATAGGGGCGCCTCTAGTGTCCGTTATGAAACGGTTACGGGACGGACACGAAATGAATGGGTTATATATATAGATAA